TATAATTAGTATCAGCATATCCCACTAGATTGAAAATAATACTTTTTGGATACCATAGACATAGGTCAGTGGTGCCTTTTAGGTATCTCAAGATCCTTTTGACATCAGTCAAGTGATACTCTTTTGGATTTGCCTGAAATCTAACACAAAGGCCTACACTGAAAAAATAATGTCAGGTCTTCTAGCTGTGAGATACAACAAAGAGGCAATCATTCCCATATACAACTTCTGATCAACAGATGAACCATGTTCATCTACATCCAATTTTGTGGCAGTTGCTATATGAGTGTCAATTTCTTTGGAATCTTCTAGTTTAAACCTGTTAAGCAACTCTTTCACATACTTCTGCTGATGGATCATAGTTTCAATTGAATTTTGTTTAATTTGTAAGCCTAAAAATAAATTAAGCTCACCCATCATACTCATTTCGAATTCACTCCCCATTAGTTTAGAAAATTCTTTACTTAACTTATCAGTAGTTGCTCCAAAGATTATATCATTAACATATATCTGAACTACCAAGAGATATTTGCCTTTTTCTCTCAAGAATAAAGTATTGTCAATTTTATCTCTTTTGTATCCATGCTCGAGCAAAATTTTTGATAATCTTTCATACCATGCTCTTGGAGCCTGCTTGAGCCCATAAAGTGCCTTGTCAAGCTTGTACACATGATCAAGACATTCCTTGCTTTCAAAGCCCAGAGGTTTCTTGACAAACACTTCTTCCTTTAAATAGCCATTGAGGAAGGCACTCTTGACATACATCTGTTGGAGAGTGAATTCCCTATAAGCAGCAAAGGCTATAAGGAGTCTAATTGCCTCTAACCTTGCAACTGGAGCAAAAGTTTCAACATAGTCTATGCCTTCCTCTTGACTATAACCTTGAACCACCAATCTTTCCTTGTTCCTTGTAACTATTCCATCTTCGTCAAGTTTATTTCTGAAGACCCATTTTGTCCCAATTACTGATTTGTCCTTGGGTCTTGGTACCAGATGCCAAACTTGACTTCTCTCAAATTGGTTTAGTTCATCTTGCATTGCATTCACCCAGTCTGCATCCTGCAAAGCCTCAACAACATTTTTAGGTTCAATAAGAGATAAAAAAGTATCAAAAGCACAAAGATTCTTCAAGGAAGATCTGGTTTTGATTCCAGAGGTTGGATCTGTAATTATGTTCTCAATGGGATGAGAACTCTGATACTTGTAAGGTTTCACAACCCGCTGGTTTCCCTTAGATGTTCCTTTAATGTTTTGTTACTGAGGAACAGGTTCATGGACAGGTTCCCTTGAGGTTTGAGAATCACTTCCTCTTTGTTCAGTTCCCCTTGTCAAGTTTCCATGGGTGGAAGGACCTGTTCCATCACATGTTCCTACTTCAGGTGCAACTTCAGTCTGGGATGTGGTTTCATTTGACTTTCTCACCAGCCCAATTGCTTCATCATCATGTTCCTACCTCTCATAAAGAATGTTAGTTTCATCAAAAACCACATGTATACTTTTTTCTACACACATAGTTCTTTTGTTATAAATCTTATAAGCTTTACTATGTGAAGAATATCCCAAGAATACTCCCTCATTACTTCTGGGATCAAACTTTCCTAGGGAGTCTTTACCATAATTGTGCACAAAACACTTGCATCCAAATTCCCTAAGATGGGATATGTTTGGCTTTCTCCCTTTAAGTAACTCATATGAAGTCTTCTCTATAAGAGGTCTAGTCATGCACCTATTTATGATGTAACATGCAGTGTTCACAGCATTTTCCCAGAAACTATGAGGCAGTTTACTAGAAAAAAGCATAGTCTTAGCCATATCTTCAAGTGTCCTATTCTTTCTTTCAACTACTCTGTTTTGTTGTGGAGTCCTAGAAGCAGAAAAATTATGATCTATGCCATGCTCATCATAAAATTCAGTAAATTTAGCATTCTCAAATTCAGCACCATGATCAGACATAATTGATGCAAGTTGATTACCTAGTTGTTTCTGAGTTTCTCTAACAAAAGAAATGAACATATCAAATGCTTCATCTTTAGATGTTAAAAATAATGTCCAAGTAAACCTAAAGTTGTAACACCTCAAATTTTTACTAATATTTGCATTCTCGATTGAGCATCTTTATAATGAAGAGATATTTTACTTCGCACTTCCTAAACGTGAAATTGACAATATATGAAAATTCCTTACTTTAGTTTGTATTAATATTGACAAAGAAGTTCCATGGTGTTGCTATGTGTAACACTTAATATTATTTTGATGAATTGTTATTAAATACATTATATAATTAAGGTTTTGGGATTCCACCCTTTTGTATTTATCTAAAGATATTTAGTAGGTTGGGCAGCTACATTTTTCATATTTATCCAAAGTTTAGATATTACTTTGGTTGACTTACTTTTCCATAACCTCCTCTCATATTTCATTCTTTCAATACAAAGAAAACCCCTACCCTCTCTCCTTGTTATCACCTAAAAAACTTCATGAAAACCATCATAAATCTCCACTAAACCAACCAGCAAAACTCATTCTTGGTGAAGTTCAAGTTGCTCCTCTCTTTTGTGGTAAGTTACTAAACCCGTTTTTATACTAGACAACTATTAGTATTTTCTTTATATCTTTTTCTATAAAGCTCCATTTTAAGTGGTCTAAGAATTTCTGGAAAGATATTTCATAGATATATAACTCTTGTTCAGGAACCAAAATCTAGTTTTGAGTTTATGTACCCCGAAAATGGATCATAAAGTACATGGCAGGTATTGCCCAGATTTTCAGTTTTAAAAATACTCCATGTACTACTGTTAGCAATTTTAGCATAACGTTTTGTAAGAAACTGATATTGGTATAATTCAATATGTTCTGCAATGTTAAGACATATATCTACAACAGTAATGAAGATCATACAGTCTATTTTATCCTTTATCATCTTCAAAACTGAGTAACAACACAAGACACTGATACTGTCCAGAATTTCTATTTCAAAAATATTTGGATAATTTTCACCAATATCATGTTTAGTTTGACATGTTAAATCACTAAACTTATATAGATATTTGATTATGTATTTGAGTTATATATACCCTTGTAAAATCTAAGGGGAAGTGTTTGAGGAAGTGGACAGATTTGGTTTGTCTATGGCGTAGACGAATCGAACGTCCTCAAGTTGTGGTTGAACTGTTTTGTGGTAAAACACCAAGGTTTGTATATAAACTTTGTACTCTTTTTACTTGCTGGAATATTTTGAAATAACCTGATTTTTTTTTTCTTTCTTCAATTTATATCATTGTATTCGTATTATATCAAGTATTATATGATATTCTCTAAATCGCCCACGCGTACGGATTGCTTGATCGTTTTGCATTCTTGTTGGGACTTTGTCCTTCCTGTGGCAGTGACTTTGTCACTCATCTTGGCATGCCTCTTGATTCGGATCTTTTTCCATTTTGACTTTGGATTTGTAGTTCGTCTTAAATTATGGAACTTGTCCGTGTTAAGTACGAACTAGAAAGCCATTTTTAATATGGTTTTTGATTCTCTTGACTATTGGGTTTTGACCCTACTTGATTTGGGGCTTCGGTCCATCTTGATATCTGATTATGCTTAGTGTGATGACATGGCATACATATTGGGTGAAAAATGGATATTTGGCAAACTCTCTTGGATTGATAGTATACGCTTTCTCGACTCTTGAGCATTATTATTAATATTTAGAAACACTTCAAGGTTTGATATTTGATACTTTTGATATATTTGTTCACTTGTTTTAAATTATGTTAAATTTGAGCTACCTATGACTGAAAAGGGGAATTGGAGAATTTAATGGCTCCAAGCCAAAAGTTTATACGCCACTAAACTTTATGCTTAGCAATAGTTATTTTCTATCGTAGGTAATGTACGGGATGAAATTTGAAGACGGTCTTATGAAGTAGTCTTTTTGGGAGCACTTATGGAGATCACATTTACATATGAACCATGGTTTTGTATAGTTTTGGGACATGTACATGATCTATATGTCACACTTATGTATGTTATTTGGCGGCTTGTTGGATCTTAAGACCAAAATCTTGTAACTTGAATTTGATAACTTATTTTCTTGTTTTAGAGTGTGTTAATAACTCAGGTCTTGTAATATTCTGAATTACTTTGTCTTATAAATATGTACAAAGGAGAAAACTAGTTTTCCTTTTTATATCTGATAGTTTGAAATTTATGTACAATACAAACTTCCAGTGATGTTGAATGAAAGTATAATTTTATTAGGAAGTTGCCTTAATGTGTTGATTATTCAAGAAGGGTTATATCACCTTATGTTCATATTTTGATATTGTATTTCATTATTAAAAAAAAATATTGTGAAGAATATTTTCGAAAATAAAACGTTTTGCACTTTGGACCTCATCGCATGGGCCTATTTTTGCTACTAAATTATTCTGAATATTTTTTTATAATTAATATCTTCTTAATATTGTAAGTAGTAAATTAGATTTCTTTCGTAAGTAGCACCCTCCCAAGGGGGTTGCTACAAGTTTTGGTATCAGAGCCTAGGTTTGTGATTCTAGGATTTTTGTTGTGATCGTACCTAATATTTTTTGTTATTTTCTTTCTTGAAAATGACTTGGAGATTATAAATTTTTTTCATACTTGTTTAATATAATTTGATGTATTCCTTGTGCATATGCACCATGTACATGTCCCTAATGCAGTGTGATCTTATCTTATATAGGAATTTTAATATGGCATCTTCTTCGAATAGAGCTATTGAATCCGTTGATGAAAGTCAGGCCCATTATAATGCTCCACCTCACCTTCAGGGAGGAGATGAGGTACCCTTGCCTAACCTAAATCATCATCGTGTTAGTGAAAATGAAGTGGGCAATAATCCAAGAGCAATGGATCATAGTACTCCTATTATGACTCCTCCATTTCAGCAGATAGATGAGTTCTTTCGTCACTTGGCTGGGACAATGTAAGAACCTAGTGAAATAAATTTTGAGAAGATTAGGAAAATGGGTAGAGTTGAATTTGAAGGCACTATTGATCCCACGGTAGCTGAACAATGGATCGAGTGCATGGAGAGGGTCTTTGAACAACTAGAGTGTACTAATGCTGCCAAATTTAAGTATACTATCTCTCTTTTACAAAATGATGCCTATGATTGGTGGGTAAGTGTGCCAAATGCAAAAGCAAAACCCTTGGTGCTAACTTGGGATGACTTTGTGAAAGCATTTCGTGCGAAATATGTCCCCCTGTCTATTGTGATGCTAAGAAAAAAGAGTTTATGAATTTAAGACAAGGGAGTATGTCTATTGCAGAGTATCAACAAAACTTTCTCAGGCTTTCTCGCTATGCTGGAGGTATTATTGATGGTGAAAGAGACAAGTGCAAAAGATTTGAAGAAGGTTTGAATGGTTATATTCGAAAGTCTGTGGCAATCTTGCAACTTGAGGATTTTTTCAAGCTAATTTCAGCTGCTCTTACTTGGGAAAGAATCGGCAAGGAAGAAGCTAGTAGGAGATAAAACAGGTTTAGGAAGGGTAATTCAGATTATGGCGGTCCATCCAAGAAGGAAAAGTCTGACTATTCCAAGACTAAAAGTGCACAGAAGCCATCATATCATAAGCAGAACAAGCCAAATTTCTCTACTGTTAGTACTCCAAGTTATGTCCAAGGCAAAACTTATACACCTACTTGTGCACAATGCAAGAAGAATAACTATGGTGCCTGCAGAAGAGCTTCTGGTGCTTGTTTTAATTGTGGAATTCTGGATCATAAAGTGAAGGAGTGTCCTAATCCTAATCCTCTTTCTTATACACATACAAAGGGATCAGTTCAAAAGCCTGTCACTACTCATTATCGAGCTAATAGCGGTGCACGACCTAGAAATGTGCACCCAGCAGTTCGAATAGAGATAATCAGGCTAGTGGGTCGAGATCTACTGCACGAGTATATGCTATGAGACAGAGGAATGACCAAGATGGACCTGACGTGGTTATTGGTAAATTTCACTTATTTGGCAATCTGTTGTTACATTATTTGATCCTGAATCTTCACACTCTTATGTTTGCTCATCACATGCATTTCCTGATATTGTTAAATCTATGAGACTTGACTTTGATGTGCTGGTCACAAGTCCATTAGGTCATCAGGCTGTTGTTAACACTATTTATCGAGATTGTCCATTCATGATTCAAAATCTAGTCTTCTCTGCATACTTGCTTGAAATGCCCTTCCAAGACTATGATGTTATTGTTGGTATGGATTGGCTCCATAGGTACCATGCATTGGTTGATTGTAGGTTAAAGCAAGTGACATCTAATATTATTTCTGCAGTCTTGGCAAGGAAGATGATTTGTCAAGGTTGTGATGCCTATCTTGCTCATATAGTTGATACACGATTGGGGAGTCCAAGTCTTAAGGACATACCAACCGTGTGCGACTTTCCTGATGTATTTCCTGATGATCTTCCTAGGTTGCCTCCAGAAAGGAAGATTGAATTTCCTATAGAGCTTGTCCTTGGAACTACTCCTATTTTTATCGCTCCTTATAGAATGGCTCCAGCTGAATTAAAAGAGTTGAAGGCTCAATTACAAGAACTTCTTGAGAAAGGTTTTATTCGTCCCAGTATTTCGCCTTGGGGAGCTCCTATTTTATTTGTGAAAAATAAAGATGTCACTCTTAGGCTTTGCATTGATTACCGACAACTGAACAAGGTAACAATCAAGAACAATACCCACTGCCTAGAATCGATGACTTGTTAGACCAACTGAAAGTTGCCAGCTTGTTCTCAAAAATTGACTTGAGGTTTGGATATTATCAGTTGAGCATGAGGGAGCAAGATGTTCCTAAAACTGCTTTTAGGACCAGGTATGGCCATTATGAATTTTTGGTAATGCCATTTGATTTGACAAATGCTCCTGTTGCATTTATGGATCTAATGAACCGTGTATCCAAGCCTTATCTTGATCAATTTGTGGTGGTGTTTATTGATGACATTTTAGTCTATTCCAAGAATAGAGAAGATCATGATAAACATCTCCGGATTGTCTTACAAATTCTGAAAGGGAGGCAATTCTATGCAAAGCTTTCCAAATGTGAATTCTGGCTGAGTGAAGTGGTTTTTGGGGGGCATATTTTATCAGCTGAATGTGTGAAGGTTGATCCTAGTAACATTCAAGCTATTATTGATTGGAAACCCCCTAAAACTCCAACTGAGATAAGAAGTTTCTTGGGTTTAGCAGGATACTATAAGAGGTTCGTGAAGGGCTTCTCTATTATAACTTCTCCTTTGACCAAACTTTTGGGTAAAGACGCCAAGTTTGTGTGGGATGACAAGTGTAAAGAGAGCTTTGAAAAGCTCAAATCCTTGTTGACATAAGCTTCAATACTTTCTTTGCCAGCTGAAGGGAAAGATTATGTGATATACAGTGATGCATCTCACTGTGGCTTGGGTTGTATTTTGATGCAAGAAGGGAAAGTAATTTCTTATGCTTCTCGAAAGTTGAAATCGCATTATTTGAATTATCCCACTCACGATCTTGAACTTGCTGCCATTTTTTTGCCTTAAAGATTTAGAGGCATTACTTGTACAGGGAGAAGTGCAACATATTTACTAATCACAAGAGTTTGAAGTACTTCAGTACACAAAAAGAGTTAAACTTGAGACAACGTAGATGACTTGAACTCATCAAAAATTATAATTGCATGATTGATTTTCATCCTAGTAAAGCCAATGTGGTTGCAGATGTGTTGAGTCGCAATTCCCTTGCCAGTTTATCTCTAAGTCCTTTGCCTTTGCTTCTTGAATTAAGAGCCATGAATGCTTGTCTTTCATTTAATTCTAATGGTTATATCATTGCTAATTTTCAAGTCAATCCAGTCTTACTTGAGCAGGTCCAAGAAACGCAGAAGTTAGATGAGAAGCTTGTGAAATGGGTTGAAGAAATCCAAAATGGAAGATAATCAGATTTTACATTGAAGAAAGATGGTACCTTATTTTATAAAAATAGGTTGTGTGTTCCTAATGATGATGAATTGAGGAAGCATATCTTGATTGAAACACATAGTTCACCTTATGCAATGCATCATGGAGGTACTAAAATGTACCGGACCATCAAGGAGGACTACTGCTGGAGTGGTATGAAGAAAGACATTGCAGAGTTTATTCTAAATGTAATGACCTGGCCGGTCGTTTCGAGTATTACAACTCTGTTCCCCCAATTACTGCTCAATTTGTACTTTTACAGTTGTTATATGACTTTTCGGGGTAATTGGTTCGGATCCGGTTAGGTTTTGGAATGAATTGGAACATTTAGTTCCAAAGTTTAAACTTAAGTTGAAAAGGTTGGATGTTTGTTGACTTATGTGAAAATGACCCCGGAATAGAATTTTGATGATTCCAATATCTCCGTATGGTGATTTTGGACTTAGGAGCGTGTCCGAAAAATTATTTGGAGGTCCGTAGTTAAATTAGGCCTCAAATGGCTAAAATAGGAATTTAAGTTAGGAAGTTTGACCGGGGAGTTGACTTGTTGATATCGGGGTCAAAATCTAATTTTGAAAATTTGAATAGGTCTCTTATGTCATTTATGACTTGTGTGCAAAATTTGAGGTCAATCGGACTTGATTTGATAGGTTTTGTCATCGAATACAGAAGTTGGAATTTCTAAGTTTCTTTAAGCTTGAATTGGAGCATGATTCGTGGTGTTAGCGTTGTTTAATGTGATTTGCAGTTTCTACTAAGTTTGTATAATGTTTTAGGACTTGTTGGTATGTTTGGTTGAGATCTCGGGGGCCTCGGATGAGTTCCGGATGGTTAACGGATCGAATTCGGACTTAGATCAAAATCTGAAAGTTTTTGCCATCTGATGTAACCGAACCTACGGGTGAAGGAGCGCAGAAGCGAGCTCGTAGGTGCGAGCTGGGATACGCAGAAGCGGAGGGCGCAAAGGCGAAAGAAACTTCGCAGGTGCGGACTCTCACCTGCGCGTGGAGGACCACAAAAGTGGCATTTGGCTTGGGAGCCGCTGGTCCGCAAAAGCTGATATTTTTGCGCAGATGCGCACCCGCAGAAGCGGGATTTTTTTCGCAAAAGAGAGATTAGCCGCAGAAGTGGCAGCGTGGCCGCAGAAGTGGCTTAATGAGTTGCAGGTGCGAAAGCACTGACCAGATTACATAACAGAGGGGTTCCGACATTTTTGTTATTTTGGACATTTGCAACACAGTTTTGAGCGATTGTTCAGAGAGAATTCACGGGGAAACTTGAGGTAAGTTACATGTGATAATTGTTAGTCATTAATATTGGATTATCATTGAGTATTTTCACTAGATTACATGTTTTTGTGGTGAAATTAGAGGATTTGGGCCTAGAGATTTCAAAATAAGAATTTGAGATTTGGAGGTCGAGTTGATGTCGGATTTTAGTAAAAACTAGATGGTTGGACTCATGGTTGAATGAGCATTCGTATTTTGTAACTTTTGTCAGGTTCTGAGACGGGGCCCCACTGGCGATTTTTGGGTTAAATTTCGGATTTTGTTAGAAAATTGGTATTTTCATTTGGAATTTATTCCTATAATTTGTATTGATTGAATCGAATTAATTATGATTATATTCGAGCCGATCAGAGTCAGAAAATCAAGGAAAAGGCATATTACTTGACTGATTGAGCGCGGTTTGAGGTAAGTGACTTGTCTAACCTTGTGTGGGGAAAATACCCCCTAGGATTGGTATTGATGTGATAATTATAATATGTTGAAAGTCGTGTACACGAGGTGACGAGTGTGTGCACGGGCTAAATATTGAAGATTATGTCTTTAAATTGTGTAGATTACTGATGTATATTAATTAAATTATTTTATCATGTTATATTCATCATCATTGATCTATTTTATATTATTAAATTTGCCTGACATTTTTACTACTAATTGTTTTACCTGTTTAGCTGAAACTTTATTTATTTTATTCTGTGCATTATTTGAAGGTTGAATTTCTTTAATTTAAATATTATTAATATGAAGTATTTGATATTTTTAAATTTGGTATTGAGGCAACGTGTTAAAAATTGTGAAATATTATTTTTGCTGAGTTATTTATTCCCAAATATTTTGTGAGATTTTGTACTCATTGTAATTGAGCCTTTAGCTCCCTATTGTGAAAAATATTGTTGTTGTTGATTTATTTTGGCAAATTAAAATATTTGAGCACTTGAGGTGCAGATTGTGATATATTGTGATATTGATATACATGCAGTGGTTTGAGGCCTGGGGTGTTGAAACGCATGCGGGGATATAAGGGTGGCTTGATACGCATGGCTAGTAGGGGAACTACTAGAAGTCATGCGGTGTGATAAGTGTGGCTAAAACGAGGGATGCTATTTCAGGAAAAATATTTTCTTTAAAATTAATTGTGAAGGCTCTTGCGGTGATATAAGCAAATGAGATATTGTGAATTTATTTATGATTTGGGACTATGAGGCGGTACCTTGGGAGTGCCCTTGTTGATATTTCTTTATGGCTGCATTTGCCTTGATTTTGTTGTGATTTTTCTTAAAGTTGTAAATTTATGTTTTCTTTTCGCGAGATATTATTTGCCCTTATTCTGTGGAATTTAAGGTGACATACTACTTATTTGATTCATTCCTATTGTCATATTGTTATTATATTGTTAAGAATTTCACCATGTCTTTTATTATTTCCAGTAGGGCCTGACCTGACCTCGTCACTACTCTACGGAGGTTAGGCTTGGCACTTACTGGGTACCGTTGTGGTGTACTCATACTACGCTTCAGCACATATTTTTGTGTAGATCCAGGTACTTCCTACCGGCCCAGATGTAAGTGAGCTACCTGTATACGGAGACTTCGAGGTATATCTGCCAGCGTCTGCAGACTCCGAAGTCCCCTCCTATCCTTATTATGTTTCTTCCTTATTTTCTTTAGACTCTGATATATAGATACATTG